CCCCCCCCCCCCCCCCCCCCACACACACCCCTCTGCTCCAACAGACCGTCCGCCCTGTCCTGACCCCTCGCGAGGTCCACCGGAAGGGGGCGCAGGAACACACCCAAGAAGCCGGGGAGGCAAGGCGCGCGGGCCAGGGGGCGCGCCGCCCAGGCGCCGCCTGCCACGGGAGCATGGACCTCATGGCCGGCCGAGCGCGCCCCTACTCCCCGCCCACAGTGGCGACGGGCCGGCATAGAGCGCCACAGGTGTGACGCCCTGCCGGCCCGCAATCTCCCCACCATCGCACACGCATGCATCTTCACGGGCAAGCGCACTTGCAGATACAATACTGTCCCTCGCTCAACCTCTCACACACACACTCACACACACACACACACACACACACACACACACACACACATACTCACCGCGCGTGTAACAGGGGGCTCTGCTTCGGGCCGGGGCGGACACATCCCCAGAGCCATTTCCCGAGAATCCCCGGGTAAAAGATGGAAATGTATTTTTTTTTTCCACCCAGATCTCCCGGCGCTCCCCTTGGGCCCGGGGCCGAAACCGACGGCGCGGCCACACTGCCCGGGGCCGGTGTCGCGAGCGGCACCCGAGCCGACCCGGCGCACGGTTGCCCCCCCCCCCGTCTTGCGCCCCTGCCCAACAGTGACAGTCCCCCTACTCCTCCCCATGTGTGCGTGTACCGAACGGGCCAGAGCCGGTCGCGGCGGGGCCGGGTCGCGGACAACGCTGTTCCGGCAGGGTTCTCTCGCTTTCTCCTTCGCCGGCGTCCTCCCGCACACACAAGCGCGCGCGCGCGGCGGCGCGATCGGCGCGCTTTCAGGGGCCCGAAACGGGCTCCTGAAATCCGCGCCGGTCCTCACAGCCCCCCCCGGCCCGTGGAGCACCGTCCCCCCCCCCCCCCGGGCTCGGGCGGAACTGCCACCGCGCCGGACAAGACCACCAGCGACCCGCGGGACGGGCATAGAACCCCGACCCGGGCGGCCTCCCGCCCCCACAATCGACGCCGGGGGCGAATGGTGCAATCAATGTTTGAAATGGGCCACATGATCAGTGCGATGGCTTCAGCCGACTTCCCCACCGACGTCGCCCGGCTTCCTCGAGGGCCAGGGCGAAACGCCACGCCGGGGCCCGGCAGTGCCAGGGGCAGCATGCGCCGGCGGCGGCCACGCAGGCCGCGGGGCCCCGGGGCGGCTCGCCGACGCCCTCGGCGGGACTGCCATCGTCCACGGCACGCGGGGTGCACTCCGGCAGGACGGCGCCGCGGCAGGCGCACGGGTCCGCCTCGCAGGGGCCCTCCCGGCCGTCGTGGTCGTGGTCGTGGTCGAGGGCCCGGCGCCAGGCCCGCAGCAGGGCCAGCCCTGCATGCAGCGGGAGCCGGCCCTGGGACAGCTGCTCGAGCAGACGATCGGCCGCCTGGCCGAATGCCGGGTTGGGCCCGGGCTGGGCGTTCACCGGCGCCGGGGGGCTCCCGTCCGGGCCGGTGGCGGTGGCCTCCCTCGGCGCCGGGGCCGGCCCCGGCGCCGGCTCGGCGGCTGGCCGCCCGACACAAGGCAGAACCCGCCGGAGCAGCTCCAATGTGGCGGCCTGATCGCGCAGGAGCTGCCGCATGGCCACCACAGGCAGGTGCTGGTCATCGGCCGGCCGGAGCCCGGCCCACATGCCGGCCGGCCCTTCGGCCCGGGAGCCCAGTCGCCCTCGGACCTCGGCCAGGTGAAAGGCAACTACCTGCACTTGGATGTCGGTCGGCAGTTCGAGGAAGGTGTCCGGGTCCAGGTCCCGAAGTGGCGGTGCCAGCAGCCCCCCCGGGGTGTTGGACACCGCCACCGGTGAGCAGGACCCCGATGGCAGCCCGGACCCCGGGGCATCCGGGCCGGGGCCGACCTCGGCCCGGGAGACACACGGCAGCCCCTCCGGCGCAGTGGCGGCGGGGATCTCCTCCACGGGCGCCGGCCCCCGGGCGTGGCCAGCCGCGGCAGCCGACACATCATGGTGGCCCGTGGTGGCCTCGCCCGGAGGGGCGCATGTCGCCCCTCCGGGCGAGGCCGGGGGGCTCCGGCTGCTGCTGGGCGAGAGGCAGGCCGGTGGTGGGTCCGCCCCCCGGCCCGGCGGGGTCACGGCCGACAGCCGCCCGGGGGCCTCGCCTCCGGGCGGCAGCCAGCCGGCTTCCCGCGGGGCAGTCTCTCGCGCCGGGGCCAGCCCGGACGAGGGCGACCCCGGCCAAAGACCCGCCCCGGTCGAGGGAGGGAGCCCCTCCGCCAGAGCGGCGGGCACGCCGGGGACCGGCCCCCCTCCCCGGCCGCCAGCATGTGTCGCCTCCGACTGGCAGGGGGCCTGCCGCTGGAGGGTGTGCGCTTCTGCCGGGACCGCCGGCGGAGCCGCGTCGGCCCAGGGCAGGCCCCCCAGAAGATCTGCCGGCCGGCGGGGGATCGGTGCTTCGGCTTGGTGCTTCCCCGGCGACAAGAGGGCAGCCCCGGGCCGGGGCGGCCCCCCCGGCGCTTGGGCCGCTTGCCCCTGGACTCGAGAGCAAGCAGGCTCACTGCCCGCGGCGGACGGCGGCCGCCCGGGAGCCGAATCAGCACTGGCCGCGGCTTTTGGATGCAAGCCCAGCCTGAGGGGGGGGACTGTGGCCAGCGCGCCACCGGTGGCCGCACCCCAGCCGGAGGGGCTGGCGTCGACGGCCTCGGCGCTCGGGCCCCGCGGAGAGCCGTCGGCCCCCTGCGGCAAGGGGGGGGAGCCCCTGTGCATGGGGCCTGGCTCGGCGGCCACCGGGCCGCCGGCTGGTCGGCCGGGGGGCGCCGGGACAATCACCGGGGGCCGGGCGTGCCCAATGGGAGCAGCAGCCGAGGCCCGGGGGCCGGTGTCGGAGCCCGAGCCGGCCGGCCGCGAGCCGGCAGCCCCATGGCCCAGGGCCGACTCCATCTCGCGGAGGAGATCCTCCTCATCGTAGTCCGGCTCCAGGGCGGCCGCCCGGCTGGACTGCCGGCGCTGGCGCTGGTCCCGCAGGAGGCGCGCCCGGTGCCGGCGGAAGAGGCACCTCTCGACCGGCAGCCACCACCACCAGTCGAGGGCCTGCTCCCAGGCGCTGCCGCTGGACTGGCCCCGGGGAGCTGCTGTGGTCGTGGTAGCCGCCACGGCCGCCGGCGGCAGGGTCAGCATGTCGGCCTCGGCCCGTGTGAGGGCCGGGCCAATGGGGCCCAGAGCGGCCAGCAGGGCGCCCGGGTCCCGGCGAAAGAGCAGACCACAGGCCGGGCCCGGGGCCAGCGGCGGCCCGTCAGCCCCCCCGGCCGGGCCGGAGCCCCCCCGCCCGCCCAGGCCCATCGGGGTGTCCAGGCCGCGCATGGCGTCCAACAGCCGACTGGCCGTGGCCTCGGCGCAGGAGTCCGCCGACAGGAGGCGCTGCCGGTGCTGCCGGAGGAGATCCTCCAGCGCCCGTCCCGACAGGTGCCGGGCCACCTCCAGCAGCGAGAGGGGGGGCGTGCTGGGTGTCGTCGGGCCGGGCGGCGGGCCCGCCGCCCGGCCCGACCCGGCAGCCTCGGCATCCTGGTAGACCGTGTTCAGGGCTCGGGGGCCTGGGGCCCGGGCCCGGGGCCGGGGCGCCGCAGAGGCCCCGGGCTCGACGGCCCCGGCCAGCAGCAGCACGCGCTGCTCAATGGCCGAGCACAGAAACCCCGGCAGGCCGAGGTCCGCCGGCGACGCGCGCCGGAGAATGTCCTCCGGCGTGTCGCCGGGGCCCGGTCGCAGGGCCGCCAGAAAGGCCAGGGTGGCCGTCCCACCGCATCCCACCAGCAGAGCATGGCGGCCAGGCCCGGGGCCACGGTCGGCCGCCGTGGCGATGTGCGCCAGCAGGCGCGCATGGCCATCGCCCCCGCCCGGGCCACCACCACCACCACCACCACCACCACCACCACCACCACCACCACGGGCCGTGACCACCTCCAGCAGCATGTCGCGCTGGGAGATGCACGCCAGGCGAATGCGCGCCCCGGCGGCGGCGGTAAAGTCCCGCGCGGCGGCCCGCAGCACGGCCGCCACCTCGGCCGACATTCGCGAACACACCGCCGGCCGGAAGGGCAGGACATGGAGCGCGACCGGCTCGGCCGACTCGGCCGGGGCGTGGTCCCCGCCAGCCGGATGCACAGCCACCCGGCCGCCGGCCAGACGCCGCTGCACGTCGGCCAGTCGCTCGCCCAGCCGCACGCCCAGCCGCTCCTGGGCCGGCCGGTTCATGGCCACCACCACCACCACCACCGCCGCCAACAGCTCCGTGTGGGGGGGGTCTGGCGCCAGGTCGGCGGCCGGCTGCCCCGGCGGCAGGCCATGCACCACGACCACCGGCAGGTCCGGCGGCCGCGCGGCCGCCGGACCCAGGAAAAACTGCGCGTGGGCCGCGGCCAGGAAGTCTCGCACCCGGATGAATGCCCACCAGCGCTCGTGCGGCCCCGTGCCGAGGCCCTCGCCCGCGGACGTCGACCAGGGGAGCAGGCCTCGCCGGCGCAAGCGCGCCAGCCATTCCGCCATCAGGCGCTCCGGCGGTGGCGGCATGGCCGGCGACGCCCCGGGCCGCCGGGCCCCATCGACGCTCGGGGCATGCGGCCGCCCGTCCGGAGACGCGCCCGCGGCGAGGGGTGGCTCGGGCCGGGCTGCCGGCCGGGCCTCCCCGGGCCATGCCTTCGAGTCGGGCTGCCGGTCCCGGGCATGGGACTGGTCTCGGTGGCTGGGAGGCTCCACCCGGCGGTCTTCGGTGCATGCCTCGACCGGGGCCGCAGCTGCCCCCCGTGCCGGGGCGAGCGGCTGTGCCCGGTCCGCGGCGCGCGTGCCTGGACATGGCCCGGCGCCGGATGTGGCTCCGGCTTTCGGGCCCTCGGCAGCCGGGTCCCGGGCGTGAGCCGCGGCGCGGTCGCCCGACGAAGGGTCCCCCGGGGCAAAGTGGGCGCCAATCGAGGCGCCAGCTCGCGAGGGCGGAGCAAAGCGCCACTCCGGCAGCGCCCGGCCGGCGGCCGCCGAGGCGGTCACCCACTCGGGCGTGACAAGATGCGCCGCGTCCGGGCCCTGCAGCAGGTGCCGGGCCACCGCCGCCGGGTCGGCCCCCGGGTCCAAGACGATGTGCGTCACCCGGGCCGGACCGGGCGCCTGGCCGCCGGCCGCGCCCCAGCCACCCCCGAGGAAGGGCGCAAGGTGGCCGCCGTGCAGCAAGACCAGGCGCTCCAGCTCCGGGCCCGAGGGCCGAGTGTGCCCGGCCACATGCACCCGACACCGGGCAAGCGCGTCCGACTGGCCGCCACTCTCGCCACCACCATCCGCCTTGAGGGACCTCTGCCGGATCCGGTCCCGCGCCTCCTCATGCTGGTGGTGCGTCTTGCGCCGGCGCTCGCGCATGTAGTCCGGTGGGCTGGGCGGCCGCCTCGTCAGCGACCGCCGGCGCTCGTCGTCCATGGCGTCAAAGCCGGGAGCGTGGGGGGCGTGGAGGCGTGGAGGGGATACCGGCGTGGAGGGGGTGGGGGACGTAGAGGGGGTGGGGGCTGGAGGAAGGGCCGGGGGGGGGGGTAGGCGACAGGAAGCAGCGAGGAGGCAGCGAGGAGGCAGCGAGGAGGCAGGTGGCGAACTCTCCCACCATTCCGCCCGTCCGCCACTTGAGCCGCGGTGCTCCATGCGGATCGGGCCGACGGTGCGGCTGGCCGATCGTCCGAGGCCAGCCTTTGCGCGAGCGTCCGGCTGGGGCGCTAGATCGCGCCAGGGGGCCTGATCTCCACCGAGCATCCCGTGTGGTCACGGAGCTGATCACGCGCACACGCGCTCCCTGGGCGGTATTATTTTTATCCGCCCCCGCTCCGGGCGGGGGGGGGGTTCGAGCTGGTACATGTTCCCCCCCCCTCTCCCACCGAAGAGAGAGGACGCCGAGGAGAGTGCGTCGACAAATGCCCCCATCCCCACATCCAGGGCTCCCCCTCGCCTGGCGCGGAGACACCGGGCCAGAGGCGGAGGGGCCGACTGGCCGGCATACGGACCGGGCCCCGGAGCATTTTCTGTGTTTTTCTTTTGGACCCCCCCCCCCCCCCTCGGTGTTGTTTCCTCCCCACGCTCACCGCATCCGCGGCGAAAACCTGTGGCCGCGGCCGCGCACTCCCCCAGGAAGGGGGTGGCGGCGGTGGAGGGCCGCACGCTCACAGGCGGACGCTGGGAGATACGCCCCCGCGCGAGCCACAACAAAGCCCCTGCGGTTGCTGCTGCTGCTGCTGCTGCTGCTGCCGGGGGACAAAACGGGGGCCCCACCACGGTGGGGCGGGGCCGGGCCGCCCCCCCCGCCATCCCCCCTCCCC